TAAGAAGAGTCTTTCTTATCATATGATAGTTATTATTATTACAACATCTCGTATTCTAGACTGGCTGGAGGTTACAAGGATGGTCATTCACTTTGAATTCCACTTTAATGTATCACTATGTAAAAAGAAATATCTTGCTTGAACCATCTGTGGAAAAAAAGAGGTTTAAAACATCTTTATTTATTAAAATATGCCGCATAAATTGTAGTATCCTGTAACAGTGACTGTAGATTCTTGTCCAGTATTGTAGAGTAGCAGAAGAAGTGAGTGTCCCTGGAGTATTTATTACATGATTTATATTGACTCGTTTACACTAGGGAGAATTTTCCTTGTATTTTCTGTATAGTTAGTGGACTCAAAATAACAAAAATTAACTCATAATGTATGTACCATACTGAACCCTTCCGTAATTATATCACTAACCACGAAGCTGATTTATGTAAAATAGGATAGTGAAAGTCTGATGATTGATTTGGTTTTTTTTTTAATTCCTTAACCATCTCATTAAGCAATGGCAAAACATCCCTGCCTACATGTGTGCAGAATGTCTCTGGGGTGTTCTGTCTATGAGTGTTGGAGAAGTGGCAAAAGTCTCTTACTGGAACTGCCAGTGAGTCCACTGGCTGCAGCCAGGGAATGCCTGGAAAAGTTTGACTTCAGTAACATGATGGATGGTACTCAGCTTTTTGAGAATTGTCTGGCATTTTTTTGAAGGTGAATGAGCTGTGATACATCCAGCTGTTTATTTAAATAGTTTGAGTGGGTGCTCCATGAAACATTGTCCCACTAAGACACATGTGTGCACTAGCGTCTCTGATAATGCCAGCCCATTGTTCAGGTTCTTGGTTATATGTGAATATAAATAAACACATTTTCTCATGGGTAAAATAATTCAAAAAATAATTTTTTCACAGTTTTTACAAAAACTAACCACATGATTGTTATTATCTGTTTTAGTGGAAATATAAAGTACAGGAAAAAAAGTGTTCCTGCTCTGAAAATAAAGTATTGTTCTAGAATATTGAAAATTGTCTTTTAAGACAAATGTGTTACAGCTCAAAGATGGCTCCAAGGAGGAATTAACTATTTTTAGTATTCTCTGAAAGCGAGTATTTTCAATAATATTCAGTACGACCAAGTAGCTGGTTCCTCAATAAAATTTACAATGTTTCTCCCGAGCATATCAGGGGAAAGCGTATCTTTATATGAATTTTGTTGCTTAGGCTATGCTTAGTTTTTGTTTTTCAGTACTGGCTTACTGAACTGAGTTGAAACATAACTTTTCTGAGTATTAAATAACTAGAGTCCTTGTAGTTAGCCTGAATGAGATGAAAATGTCACTCAGCACAGAGAACAATGATCAGCCCCACCTCCTTATAATACAAGAGGCGAAGCGGCTTGTGCTTCATTACTGCTCTCCAATTACTTGTCCTGGGAGTAAGTAGAAAATGCCGTTTCCCGTTCTTTTCTTTCATGAAGTCTGTAATTTTTATGCATATGTGTTGAAGCACCTCTAGTCAGAGGCCAAGGCATCTTGGTGATAAGCATTTTATTATACAGAATGGAAAGGTTTCCTGCTTTAGCCTTTGCGGCTTGAATAAAGAGAATTGCATAAGGCATAGGAGAAATAAGCATAGGAAGATCAAACTGGAATTAAATATCTATTAACCCATACCTCTGTCTTAAAAAAAGCCCAACAATTTGCAAAAACATCCATGCCACAGTAATGAGGGTTCAGTTGTTCCCATCTGAGGCAGCTGTTACACAGTACCATGCGGGGGGAAGGAGGTGATGTGAACTTTCTGTTGCAGTGCATAAACTCTAAATTACTAAATTACATAAATAATTAGGTGAATCAAGCTTTACCGACAGGCATGTGATTCTCAAGAAGCTGAGATTTTTTTCTTATCTACATTCTCACAATTGTGTGAAAAAACAATTTTAGTGCAGGGAGCTTTTGTTGAGAGAGAGGGTATTAAGAGAAAATTCTAAGGAATTCAAACTATTAAGATAACACTTTCATTCTGTTTTGGCTGTTAGGGATTCAGTCTTTCAAATACAATGTAACTTGAAATGCAGAATTTGTGGGAAGTGTTTTTGTTTACAACATCTAACGTGTATGAAAAAATTCTACAGAATTCTTGGAAAAACAGTGAACTTTCAATAGGATCTTATAACCACCCAGCAAAAAAAAGGGAGTAAGTAGAAAATGCCGTTTCCCGTTCTTTTCTTTCATGAAGTCTGTAATTTTTATGCATATGCTTCAACACGAAGCACCTCTAGTCAGAGGCCAAGGCATCTTGGTGATAAGCATTTTATTATACAGAATGGAAAGGTTTCCTGCTTTAGCCTTTGCGGCTTGAATAAAGAGAATTGCATAAGGCATAGGAGAAATAAGCATAGGAAGATCAAACTGGAATTAAATATCTATTAACCCATACCTCTGTCTTAAAAAAAGCCCAACAATTTGCAAAAACATCCATGCCACAGTAATGAGGGTTCAGTTGTTCCCATCTGAGGCAGCTGTTACACAGTACCATGCGGGGGGAAGGAGGTGATGTGAACTTTCTGTTGCAGTGCATAAACTCTAAATTACTAAATTACATAAATAATTAGGTGAATCAAGCTTTACCGACAGGCATGTGATTCTCAAGAAGCTGAGATTTTTTTCTTATCTACATTCTCACAATTGTGTGAAAAAACAATTTTAGTGCAGGGAGCTTTTGTTGAGAGAGAGGGTATTAAGAGAAAATTCTAAGGAATTCAAACTATTAAGATAACACTTTCATTCTGTTTTGGCTGTTAGGGATTCAGTCTTTCAAATACAATGTAACTTGAAATGCAGAATTTGTGGGAAGTGTTTTTGTTTACAACATCTAACGTGTATGAAAAAATTCTACAGAATTCTTGGAAAAACAGTGAACTTTCAATAGGATCTTATAACCACCCAGCAAAAAAAAGGAAACAAAATAAAAAGGAAAGGTTTTACATCGTTAAATTTTTCAGTTTAGGGTATTTTTATGTGAAGTCTGCTCAACACTTCATGTTGGTTTTGTTATCCTGCATGAACAGATTGGGCAAATTGCGGTGGCTGTGGTAGCAGGGAGCTGAAGCAACCATTGATGGGGCTTGCTTGCTCGCTAGAACATGGCACAGAGTGGAGCTGGAGCAGAGCCTGATGCTCTCTGGAGCCCTGCCTGGTGTCTGTGCTGACCTGTCTGGGCAACTGGATGCTAGCTGTGCTGTCCCTGCGTTGTAGTCTGTCAAACCTTGTAGGCATGTCTTCATACGTATTACTCTTCAGGTCCTCTGGGACTGTCTCTCCCATATTCAGCTGGACAGCTTCTAATTTAATTCAAGGCCACGAAGGTTGGATGCTACCAGGTCGCATGGAAGAATGGCACTATTAAAATAACAAACAGCTAATATTTGTATCTTATTTTTAGCTTATTTCCTGTTGTTGCCCTGCAGCTGCTGAGGTTGTCACAAAAGCTTCCTTTCTAGTTGCTTTCGTTAACATATACATTGTGCATATGTGCCTTTGCTCGCCAGAGCATCTGGGTGTGGACTTGTCAAATCATCGAGTGTATTTGCTTATAAATAAAATGGTATCAACTCAAACTCCCGGACAATAAGAAGTGTGAGGAGGTGTCAGAAGGCTCTTTTTGTGAGGCTTTTTCTTCTTCTGTGAACGTGGACCTGAGATGCTCTGCAGCCTGGATTCCCACCTATGTGCTTGCAGCTTGACAGACAGGCCATAGAGAGTGGACTTCATTCTTCACCCAAATGCTGAGTGTCTCTCCTCCAGTACTTCACAGCAAAGGATTGAGTCAGCATTAGTCCCCTGTGGTACTTAATGTCAGAATGAGTAATTCATGAGGAGTTACCTTATTTATATGTCCTGAAAGGGAGGGTAGGGCCTTCAGATAATAACGCAGGATGCTATCCCTTGAGATGTCATGTGGTCTCTTGCTCTCTCCTTTCTATTTTTAATTTCCCTTTGAAGCGAGCTTATTGAGTCACACAGAACTGAGAGAAATATTTAAAAATGCCACAGACAATAATTCAGCTTCCTTATTTCTTGACCTATTTATGTACTGACCAGACATTCTTTGTCTTCTTCATTTCCGATCTTCTCCCCCATTTTCCATTCACTTCCTGAGTTTCTTTGGCTTATGATAACACCACGATCCCCATCCAATTACTCATTTAAGCTTATTGTTTCCTTTTTTTTTTTTCCTGTGAGGTAGGCAATTCTCATAAATACGTTATCCCTGGAGAGGTAAATTTCAGCACATGCTGTGTTGAAATCAAGTGTTGGGCATTACAAGGGGTTCCCAGTCTTTCGTGAGCATTGCGAACATGTGTAATTAGGAATTTAGTTTTTTTCCTGCTGAGCATTTGCTGGAGCTGGGAACAAGGTAAAGATTGTCAAAAGCTAACTTTATCTGTTTTTATTTTCCCATTATCTTCTCACTGCCTGAGGGTACGACAGAACTGAAATTGTTACACAGTAATGCCTGTTGTGACTTGGTCCCATTGTCACGTCATCATTTTTACCACAACATTATATTCAATGTTAGATGAGTCATGAATTATCCATATTTTGCTCAAAATGTCCTGTTATTGGCACATTTGTGTGTACGTTTTTTAAAGATACTGTAAATGTCTCTACTGAGGGGGTTCTAATTCTACTGAAGTGGCATTAGGAGGCTACAGTAACAGCACCCAAATGACAGGATTTTGAACACTCTCCATCCAGGGTCTTAGGATTTCACATGAAATCTCCCACTTGTTATGAGTTCATGTGAGTCAGTTCTCCTTCTGGCTCACTGTGTTGTATTTGGTACCCACAGCTGCCATTAAAGGTTCTTCAGTAGAGTAGCTACATGATACTCACAGTCTTATAGATTCCATATGGCACTCTGTGTAGCTTTCTCTAAGTTGTAATATGCATATGTGTTCTATTTTAACTTCTCTTAATTTTCTTCTTCTCCTAGGTATTACGACAACTTTACTCAGTGCACAGAACGTGAAGCCAACAACGCAAGTTGCTTTTGGCCAAACCCCCTCGCAGAAGGCTTTATCACTGGAATTCATAAACAGTTCTTTTCAAACTGTACTTCAGAAAAGGTTCACTGGGAAGATCCACCAGATGAAATTCTCATAACTCTGATCTTGATTCCAGTCATGTTGACATGTGCCATGATAACACTGGTAGTATGGTGCAGCAAGAGGAGTGATATCCTGGTGTAAGTTGTTCTTGTGCGCTTTCTTTTTCTCTATTTCCTTCTTCCGGACGAAGACAGAAACTCAACATAAAGATTTCAGATCTGCCAAAATGGAACCTGTGAGATACTGAGACAGAGACAATGCTCCTTTGAACAAAGAGCTGCTTGCTGCTGCTGCCAAAAGTCACTGTTTCTCAGCTTGGCCATTGGTATTGCTGGTGCAAAGCTCTCTACTTCCTTTGGATCTTATTGTCATGGAATTCACAGGCAGCTTCCAGAAACAGGAGAGCCCGCAGGCAAGTGGACCTGTTAGCTGCAAAAGGGGTAAGGTTACTTTCCCATGGTTAAGGCTGGTTGGTAAACTAAGTTTTGCAAAACTACAAGTAGGTGTATGTACACATGGTGTAAGATTGACTGCGGGGCAGATGATATCTCTTGAGGTTTTGTGCAGGACACTTGAGTTTTTCTTCTTGTGTCTTGGATAGATCACTGGCAAAGGAACTGAACATGGATGTAACCAACTGACAGCTTTTCCTGGAAGCTAGTCAAAGACATTATCAAGAACTGGAAGTTTTGTTCTGGCAGAGGAACAATTTATGTGTCCAGTGACTATCCCCACGGCAAAAATATCACGCCAAGTTATAAAATACTTTATAAAACTCCTTTAAGCATGGCTACTTGGAATTGTATGGCTTGCAAACAAACTCTGGGAAGATATACAGGTCTTATTTTACAGAGCTGGAAAATGTGAGATGAAATTGGTTGATTAGAAATATACTAAGGAGTAATGAAGAAATTTTCATATGCCAGACTCTTTATAGTTATTATTCTTGATGACTTGTGTTCACTATATACTCCCCACTCTAACTTCAATTTGTGCAGGTGATATCCTACAAATAAATATAAGGGTGTTACGTTGATTGAGGTGCCTTTAAGAGTATAATTTTGTACATAAACAATTCTTTGTCCTGTGAAGAGTGGGGGAACTAAAGTATGAACAACAACGCTTGGAACAGACATAGGAGAAAAGACAAAACATTCTACACAGAAATCTTATTCTATAAAGCTATTCCTATGTAACAATTTTAAATAAAGATCACATGCCCAAAATAAAAGAACTTATGTGTTTGTATTGTCAACCTTCCTTTTCTGTCATTTCACAAAATGCCTTTCTGTTGAATGTTCATTTTATATTGAGTGAGCAACATCCATTACAAATGGCTCTTCAGTTTTCCATACCTTATGCACACAAATAAAATACAGGTTGAATTGCCAAGTAATGGTGTGTCATACCTCTGCAAATTATATTTTCTCCTTTAAGATTCTGGCCCAGTGTTTGAGATTTGAATCTGTGTGCATGAGTATCATTTCCAGGCTTGAATCAAATCAGAAGTGTGCCCTTTACTAGAATTGTTTATATGTAGATAGATAAAGAACACCTGTAGTGGTTTGTTTTCACATCCTTTCACAAGAGTTGAAGGCACTGGCTTTTTTTTTTCGTTACCCTAATATTAGAATGATTCATTTTCTAAGATGTTTCCTGTGTGTTTTTCCAAAGATACTTTTTGTTCTCTAGAGGCTAGCAAAAAATTGCTCTTTGTAAAAGAGGAATGACATATGAACTAAGGATTTTGATTTAGTTTTCTACTTAACTATTATTTTCTGCATTAAAATGTTTTAGTCCACCAAAACTAGTGTGAAGTTAAAAAAAAAAAAAACAAAAACAAACCCAATCATTTGATCCAAAAGATTGTTTGGTTAAGGATTTTTTTTTGTGGCCAAACCCAAATAATTTTGTTTTCTGCGTGGAGTTTTATTCTAATCCTCATTTAACTTTAAAATTCAGCAAACTTCAAAGCAAGTTTCAAAATTTTAGTTTGGAAACCACATAGCAAACATTTTTTGTGTTCAAAAACATGTTCATTTCAATCGAATTGCCATATTTGGTGCAAATTCTTGACCAATTCTGGCTCGTTTGAAACTGCGTTCACTTGCTCAACAGGTCATCTGAGAGATATCACCAGTTTAATTCATTATAAAATAGATTGGTCTGTGTACAAAATGGAGAAGAAACTGTCACCTTGATGACATCATATTACTAAATGTGTATTGTGGTCTTTAAACAAATGCTGTCTTTAAACAGATATAAAATCCAGTGTGAATTTTTCAAATGGTCCAAGAAATGCAAGATTGAAAGAATAGTGGATTTTCCTTCATGTGCTGTGGGGGCGAGGGAAGGATTGTGTTGCTGCTGTGTGCTTTGGATGTGAAAATTTGGTCTTTTTTAGAGTGTCTTCCCCATCCAAACTGTGATGTTTGACTTTTTTTTTTTTACTTGATAGAAGGGGAGAGAAGTTGAAACAGTGCATGGGAAATGACGCTGGTAATTTAATGCATCCTCAGTGGTTAAATCTGGAGAAACATTTATAGTGTTTTAAGGAAAAAAGGAACCTCAAATGTCCAGGTTTTAACAGCTGTGTACATTAAAAGGGAACCAGAATGGTAACTGTTGGATCTTTTGACATAACTTGTACTATGTGTTAGTGAGAGTTAGTGGTTATTTTCTACTGCCTGGAGCTTGCTACCTTTCCCCTAAAGCCTGTTTCCATTGCCAAGAAAATCACATCTGGGACCAGGAATCTGGCTCATTTTGTAATTGTGATTTAATTCTATGTTACAACAGATTCTCAGAGGAAAATAGACAGAGATTCGAATAGAAAGCAAATAACTGGCTCAAAATCCTTCTTACAATTGGAACAGTGATTGATCTCAAGTAATGGCAAGGCCAGAAGACATGTGGCAGGCTTGCTAAGCAGCTGCCTGACATTGCGTAATTGCTGTGAGTTGTGGGATTTTTTGTTTTCATTCAAGAATAACTGGAAAAGTGTATATTTCCATGGGGTATAAAAGCTTCATCAAAGACCTTCACAAAAGACGACGATGACTAGCAGCAGTAACGCAAAGGCCGAGAGGGCTGCCATCACTTTCAAGAAAGATATCAAGGCTGAAGACCAAAGGAAGAAAAGAGTTTTTGAAGTGCAAGGAAAAAGATGGTCAAGAACAAAAAAGCACTTGGGACTTCTTTCCAAGAGGACAACCTCACCATAAACAGGGTAGCAGCAGATGTCCCTTGGTGCATTGGTAAGGAACAGTGAGGAAATCCTGCGTGTTCTCTACGTCTCTGGGAAGTCCATGCAGAGGGAACCAGAAGCCTTTCTTTCACCTCCAGCATCCCCACAACCAAAGGAATGTATTGGGTGTAAATGCTCTTCTTCACACAGTCTGAACGTCCAGATGAATTTACAGGGAGACCCAGGAGCTGTGCCCTGGCATGGCCACCAAGGGCAGGGACAGCCCCCGGGCACAGGGACTGCCTCGGGGCCAGCACCCCAAAGGCTTCCTCCGAGGGATGGGTGGAGGGGCAGCAGGAGGGGCTGCACAGGGAGGACCCCATCACCCCCATGTCACAGTGTCACCAACCGGCAACGCAGATGTCACAATGCCCTGGGGGGATAAAAGGGAGCATCCTCCTGTGTCCTGCTGACAGAGCTGGCCTGAGGACAGCCTGGAGACATCTGAGAGTAAGTCCTTGAGGAGCTGGTGGAATTAGTTTGAGGGGGCTGAGGGAGGAAGGCCAGAGGCTGAACAAGACTCCTGGAGGTTCTCTGTTGCAAGGCCAGCTCCCACAGGGGCCATGTTCAAAGTGCATCTAATGGACAGGGATCCTGTCTCAGCCTCTGAGGAACAGATGCCAGCTCCATAGGAGATGAGAAGTATCACCGACCTCTGGAGGTCCCAGAGGTTCCCAGGCCTTTTCAGCTGGATAATCAGTGGCAAGACCAAGAGAATGCCTTCTTGAGGAGCACCTCAGAGCTTGTTGTTCTCATCCCCTATGGAGCAAGGGGTAGCAGTGGTAAGAAATAGGATGCAGAGATGTTGCCAGGGGTCCCAGTGCTTTGGAGGCACCCACTGGTGTCCTGCCAGGCACAGGGAGAATGCTTGCTCCCAAGGGGAATCAAGGTAGGGGCCTTTGGCAACTCTGGGAAGCCCCTGAGATGGCTCCAGGCTGAGGGAGAACAGGGCTTGGGCATCTCTGGGGAGGCAGGACCAGCGGGTGGGACCAGGAGGCAGGTCTCGCTCACATGCTCAGGGAACAGCCGATCGCCAGCCCCAGCTGGGGTCAGGAAGGAATTTTCCCCAGGGGCACATTGGCACTGCTCCCCGGGGGTTTTTTGCCTTCCTCTGCAGCATCGAGCATGACCACTTGTCAGGGCTCCTCCGCTCCCTTTTGCCTGCAGGCTTCCTGCCTGCTGCTCCTGCACCACCAAGGTGGCCTCTCCTGCCCCGCAGCTGGGGGGAGGAAGGCTTTTTTTGCCCCCGAGGTGGCCTAGCCAGCCTCCTGGGGGGTTTTTTTGCCTTCCTCTGCAGCACTGAGCAAGGCCCCTTAAGGGCCAGGGCTCCTTTGGGCCCTTTGGGCCAGGAGCCTGCTGCTCCTGCTGCACCAAGGTGGCCCTGGGGCCCCGCATCCGGGGGGAGGAAGCTTTCCAGACTCCCAGGCGGGCCCCCGGGGCTGCTTCTTGTCCTCTGCAGCACTGAGCACAGCCCCTGCTCAGGGCTCCTGGGGGCCCTTTGGGCTGGGGTCTTGCCCGCTGCTCTGGCACCTCCCGGCCACCACTCCTGCCCTGCCTCTCTCCGCCTCTCTTGCCCATGGCGAGCTTGGAGAGGGAGCCAGCTCTGCTCTTCCCTTGGCTCCCTCTCCCCAGGGCTTCTTGCTTGGCCAAAACAGCCTCTGCTGGGAAGGGCTCCGGCCTTGAGGCACCCTCCCTCCCCACTTGACACTTGCCCACTCTGCCTGCCTGCAATACAAGCCCAGGGCAGGCACCGCAGCGCTTTGCATCCACCACTGGCTGAGAAGTACAGTGGCAGAGCAAGTTTTGGAAGGCAAGAAGTGTGCTTGTCATTGGTATGTATCATACTTTTGAAAATTCTCCACAGTAACCCACAGCTCTTTTTCTTCTGCTGCTGCTTTTGCGTGTGTTCGTTAACGATGCTCATTCTTCAAGTTCTCCCTTTTCTGGAAATAGGGACTGGTTGGCCTGTGTTCATGCTGCTACTTTCTGTGGCAAATGCCTCTTACCCACTGACAGGAATCGGGCATCAACCATCTCTCTAGGAAACCTGTTCCAGGGTTTGATCACACCTTTGGTAAAGAAATGTTTTCTCATGTCTAGTCTGAACTTTGAGCCCTTGCCACATGTCCTGACACTGGATCCCAAGGAAAGAGATCAGGACTTTCCACTTGCCCTTCTCAAGAAGCTGTTCAGAGCAATGAGGTTGCCTCTCAGCCTCCTTCTCTCCAGACTAGACAAACCCTGTATCTTCAGCCATTCCTCAGAGGATGTGTCTTCCAGCCCTTTCACCAACTTTGTTGCCCTTCTCTTGGGACACATTCAAATACCTTAACCTTTTTTAAATGGTGGGGGTCAATTTATGGGGTTGTTTTCATATATGGAATGGGATGGGAATTAGTACAGCTGTAGGGAGTTATTTCAGGATGTGTTACTTCAGCATGCATTTGCCTTGTGAAGGCCCTTTGCGAAGAGGAAAACAAAGGGCAGTGTAATCAGTGGGATAATTAGTGAGATTATCAGTGGGATAATCATCTTTTTTGACTGGCTGGCGATGTCATCTTTGATGCACCCCAGGATGGGGTTTGCCCTCCTGGCTGCCAGGTCACTCTGCTGACTCCTGTTGAGCTTCCGGTCAACCAGGACCCCCAGACCCTTTTTTGCTGGGCTGCTCCTCTCCAACCACTCACAGTTTATACTTGCGGCTGGCATTATTCTATCTCATGTGCAAAATTCAGCAATGCTTGATTGAACCCTGGCTTGAATCGTCAATCCTGGTAAGGCTAAGTGGAGATTTGAAAGTAGGCCTTAGGCTTTACCGAGCTTTTTGAACTATGAAGAGTCTCTGTCTTTCAAGTTGGCCCTGAAAAATTTTGACCTGAATTTACAGCTCCAAAGGGAAAACAAAAGGTTGCATTTTTTTTACCTCACAGGTGTGTTGGGAAGATAAGGGCAATTAATTGCTTCTGAATCCAGTAAGAATGAAG